ATGGGCAAAATAGGCCTGCAAAGGCACTTTGTAAACAATCTCACTTGTATCGATGTGACGTAATGCGCGAATTCAATCTGGCTTACTTTTGTTAATAGATTGGCGTTCCATTTTAAATATACAGTTCACCGGGAATAGATTATTTAAATATACACGGACCGGGAAAACAAGTACGAAAAAATTCACTGGCTCCTGGACTAGTACTGTATCGAAGGAATTTTTATGAATGAAACAATATACGACCCTCCACAATTGCGGTCTACTCTACTTCCGCTGTTGTCAGACATTATTTTTTTTTTTGACAATTTAAAGACCTAACAGTAATTCAAGCAAACGCAATAACATCGCAAACTTGGCATCAATATTTTAATTTTATCCAAATATTGCATTTCTGTCGAGGATCATCCGCGTTGACTTCAGAAATTGTGTAATCTGTATTGGTTATATATATATATATATCTATAGTTAAAAGCACGTAAACTTGGCATCAATGTTCAATCCGATTATTGAGTTTCTACCGCGGACACCACCGTTCATTCTTCAAAAATTTTGTAAATAATCCTATCTGTCTTGGTTATATATCTATGGTTTTACTTTCCTATCTGTATACAGATATAAGGAAAGTATAGGAATCATGATTTTTTTCGACCTCGAGTTTTCGACGGATTTTTACGTTTTGAGGTCCCCTGAATCCGTTTTGACTATTTTCGCGATGATGTCTGTGTGGGTGTGCGTGTGTCTGTGTCTGTGTCTGTGTCTGTGTCTGTGTCTGTGTCTGTGTCTGTGTCTGTGTATGTGTCTGTGTTTGTGTTTGTGTTTGTGTTTGTGTTTGTGTTTGTGTTTGTGTTTGTGTTTGTGTTTGTGTTTGTGTTTGTGTTTGTGTTTGTGTTTGTGTTTGTGTTTGTGTTTGTGTCTGTGTCTGTGTCTGTGTCTGTGTCTGTGTCTGTGTCTGTGTCTGTGTCTGTGTCTGTGTCTGTGTCTGTGTCTGTGTCTGTATCTGTGTCTGTGTCTGTGTCTGTGTCTGTGTCTGTGTCTGTGTCTGTCTGTCTGTCTGTCTGTCTGTCTGTCTGTCTGTCTGTCTGTCTGTCTGTCTGTCTGTCTGTCTGTCTGTTTGTCTGTCTGTCTGTCTGTCTGTCTGTGTGTGTGTGTGTGTGTGTGTGTGTGTGTGTGTGTGTGTGTGTGTGTGTGTGTGTGTGTGTGTGTGTGTGTGTGTGTGTGTCTGTGTGTCTGTATCCACCATAACTCATGAACCGATACACAGAAAAACACCAAATTTTTAACTTAAGCTTTATTCCAGCGTCCAATGATTTTGGGCAGAGTCCAGATGTTCTGGGTACTTTATGGGTGGTAATTTTTATATTTTATGGAATATATCTGTTATTTACGTTTGGAGAAGAAAATTCTTCAAATAAAAATTACTTCTAATATTATTATCTATAATTTTTATTCTATACATAATTTCTCTAAAATGGACCATATTCGAGATATTTGAGAAAATTAGTAAATTTCGAATTTTTAAGAAAACTCAAAAACGGATAAAGAAAAAAACATTAAATTTTAAACTTAAGTTTTATTTCGACCTGACGTGAAATGATTAGATTTTGGACAAAGTCGGAACATCTGGGGGAGTACTTTATGGGAGGCCGTTTTTATATTTTATGGAATATATCTCTTATTTATGTTTGGCGAAGAAAATTGTTCAAATAAAAGTTACTCCTCTATAATTTTTGTTTTATATCAAAATTTCCTGAAATGGTCCGTATACGAGAAATTTGACAAAATGTGCAAAATTCAGATTTTTATGAAAATTGTTGAACTAAAAGTTGTTTGCGATATCGATCTCTATAATTTGTGTTTATACATGGGCGTCGTTTGGGGGGGGGCAAGGGGGGGGCAGTTGCCCCCCCCCCCTGGCTTTTACGACTATACAACGCGTAATGGCTGTATGTCACAATACTAAATTAAGTACTAAAATTTAGCCCTAAATCAAGTTATTAATTTAGTACTAAATTTAGAACTAAAAATATTTTTTTTCTTTTGCAATGATACCAATTTTTAGTACTAAATTAAGTATAGGCGCACGCGCATTGACGTATTATTACGTGAAATTAGCACAGAAATAAAATATTCTTTGTAAATGAGAGAAGTAAATTAAAAGATATATTTATTATGACTTTGACACTAATTGACTTGACAATAACTAAATGCAGCAATGCCACTAAAAACCACGAAAAAACACAATAAAACCTACAAAATCAAACACAAGCGAAATTTTTCAAAGGCGATAAAGCAATAATAGTTGCTGTGTTGTAAATTGTAAAAATACTAGCAGAAAAAACAGTGTAAAATATATAAATTTTTAGTAGCAAAATGGAAATTAAATCAAAAATTAATGGGTAGCTGTACAATAAGAAGAAAAAACCTTTATTATTGTAATAATAACAGTAATAATGGAAATAGTAGACATTAGAAAATTGAAAGGTTTTAAATAAACAATAAATTATTATTTTACAATGTTGTTCAACATCCCTTAACTCTTAAATGTTGAGCAAGGATTAGATTTCTGCCTTTGATTATTGTATGTGGCTGAAATGCAATCTTGTGACTTATTGATAGGAAACCAATTTTATTCATTAATTTCTATGGGTTCTTTCGAACTAAAAATAAAGAAAATATGAATTACAATCGCAAATTTACCAATTATTTTTGTTAATACGTTTTGAGACTACGTTATTATATAATGGTAATGTTTTTGTTTTCACATTATTTAACGTTTTCTTCAATGTTAACTTATTAGGCTTAGGCAACATATACATTTTCTCGTAAATATATAATAATAATACTCTCCCTAATTCACCCCCTTACGAGTGAATTTTAACCCCAAAAGCTAAGCTTGTGCTGAGAAAGGGACGGCTATTATTATTATTATTTGCCGGGGCGCTCCGGGGCGACTTAAAGATGATTAATGGTGACATTTGACTTACAGGTGAGGAAAACCCCACCCACCATCATCGTAAACGGTAATGCATGCTGATTTTATTTTAATAATTTGGATGTCATATCAACAAAAATTAAATTTCTACTAATACTGGATCCATCAAATCCTATAGAGAACCATGCAAATAAATTTACATGGTCTTCCGTAGGATCTGAAAGCGTGTCTCGTTTTGCCAGAAAATTGGCTGACAAATGAATGCCGCGCTGTAACACTTACATCACCGTAGCCTGCCTATGTTTTATTATTGATTATACTACTTTTATTTTAGCTGAAGTACCTAATAAAAATATATAATAATTCATTTTTTTCACTTGTTTTACAAATCTATATACACACACAGAGCGAATAATGAATGAAAATAGGCAAAAAACTAAAAAGAAATCATGTTTTCTGTTATCGATTATTTTAGGTAGAGGAAGAAGGGATTAAAAATTTACGTTTTCCTAGTGTTCGTCGACGTGTTTGAGTGAGTTTTTTTGTTTTCGTGTTTCTATAAATATTTTTTTTTATATATTATGTATGGCTCTGTCTCCTTGTTCATATTTTTCTTTTATCTCACACCTTCTATTTGTTTTTTAAAAATATGTGTTTGAAGTTTCTTGTGTTTTTTTATTTTTTGTCTTTTTTGTTGGGTTATTTTATTTATTAAAAACCTTTGTTAATTTGTATTGCTCTTTTATTTTTCATTTTCTCTGTTTTTCAACTAATAAACATTTTAAATTTTTTCAAAATTTTGCCCCCCCCCCTATAGAATTGTGTAACGACGCCCATGTGTTTATACATGATTTTTCTAAAATGGACCGTAATGGAAAAGTTGTAGGAAAAGTGCTAAATTTAAATTTTTCAGTATTTTCGTTTTCAATGAATATCTATAGAAAAATGTTTCGAGGTAGATGAATGTGGAAAATGTATATATATTTAGTTTATCCTCTAAACATTTACGGAGGTACTGCAATAGGTTGTAGAAAATAACCGGAAAAAGCCTGTAATAACTAGATAGGAAAGTCATGTGTGGGACACATCAGATTTTTTAAATTATACACTAATCTAATACAAATATTTTGCATACGTTGACTATCATATCGTGTTACACAAGGGCCATATACCGAATCGCAATAATGCATATGTGAAAATACTAGTGATTCGCACAACGTACGTTTAGCTTGATGAGTTAAGATGTATTTATTTGCATATATCATTAGGTTCAGAAATAAGCAGCCTAAAATGTTTACCAATTCAGTAAAATATCGAAACGAGCTATGATACACTTACTGGTTATTATTTTGTCAAACAGGCATCTTTGTCCGAGCTTTAATCTAAGGTCCGAGCATATTTTAATTTACACCAATTTGAAACCAATAGTCAATTAAATACATTAAACCCTTATTGTTTATAAACACCCTAATTTAGAATGATATACAGTTGAAGAAGATGATTCATCTTACATTAATTAAATTATTCATATAGGTATGCATTTATTCTTTTTTAAAACTATTTAGTATATTATTATATGGAATGGGATATATATTTTAACCATAGATTCAGGACCACAAAATATTAATATTTTGTTAAATAACACTAAGTCAAATGTCACCTACTAGTGAGATACAAGGTGTTAAAAATAAAATTTATTTAACGTTTTTTTGCAATATTCTGGTTAATATTTAACTTATTGATTTGAAATTTGGTAGACTGATGTTATAGGGTGACAAATTATAATGTTATTATCAATTTTAAGATTAGATAAAAATAAATATCTCAAGAATAAAATAATACAGATAATTTTGTACATCTATTGGGTGTAAGTGGCGCCCTCTTTGTTTAATCTTAAAATTGACAATAATATTATAATTCTTCTCTCGAAAACATCACTTTATCAAACCTTCCTGTGAATCCGGCCCTGATGGGGATACCCGAAACGAATAAAAGCATCCTCTCATAGTGTACACTAAAAATTTAGCAAATCCGCCGATAAATTAAGATTAGCGGCAACGCCGCTGCATCGCAAGCCATCCACACACAAACCGTGTGCCCGCAAAGTCGAAACACAAAGCAAAGGCGAAGAACGAGTGGTTCAAGATTGAAATCGGCCAAATATAGTTGTCAACATCATCTAGTTGCATGGTAAGTACCCACATGCAATTGTTCGTGGTTATCAACACACGTGTCTTGATTTGTTATGCGCAGGACCATCCGTCGGCATCGGGTCGCCTTTGGAAATGATCCGACGATAAACAAAAATAAGATCTAAAAGCTAATAGCGGTTTTTCGGAGGATTGCGATGGATTAATATGTGTGTCTGTATTGTCGGTGGTCTTGGGTTATTTTCACGTACCTGCAACACGTTTTTCATTGGGTATTTGACAAGTGCGTGTGTTGGGAATTCAACTTGTTGATTTCTGATATATTTTTTATTCGTAAAATATTTTTATTGATATTTATTAGGTAGTACCTACGTATATAGGGTGTTTCTTAAAGATACGCAACTATTTAAAGGTATGAATCTACATGAAAAATTAATGATAGTTTACTGTATAGACTGAGGTCTAAAAATGTTTCGTTACCAAAATAGGTAGGGGTGCTAAAATTTTAGAGAAAAAAGAGGAAATTAATTAATAATTTCGAAACCGTTAAGAGATATTTTAGTAGGGTTCCCAGACGTCACGCTTTAAGCGTATCTCCCACGCTTTTTGACTTGCTTGGACATTCAACGCCACAGTACGAAAATATTCCGTTTTTGACAAAAATGTCACTCTTTTTATGCAAATGCCACGATTTTTAATATTCAAATCCGTAAATAAAAAGGAGGAACTGAATTTATAGAAAAATATAAGGTGAAGACCTTTTTTGTTAGATATATAAATATCTTCTAAAGGCCCCTCGTTTACGAAAAATAGGTACAAGCTGAGGACTTTTTTTTAGAAATTTCACAAATAATGGACCTGATTATATAAAAATGTTTGTTATTTAAACCTGATGCACTATCGTCACGCTTTTCACTTTCGTAAATCAGGCAACCCTATATTTTAGTGATATTTAGTACGTAGTGACAGTTAATAAAGGGCATCTAGATTAATTACAAAATTATACCTATTCTTCAGTAATTACATTAATTTTCTCGGACAATGCAATGATTTTTATTTTTTTATTCAAAAACGGCACATTGTAGGAAAACAACTCAAGAGATCTCTTATGTTTCAAATTGAACAGGGAATTCAAAAATATTTTTTTTTCTGGAATAAACCATTGGCGTACCATTTTTTCTACAAAAATATAGAAGTTAGTGCCTGCACGCACGCCACTGTTAAAGCTGAAAATTATTTTTGTATTGGAAAATTAGCACCTATATTGTCTATTTTTATGTATGAAAGAGTATTAAAATAATAAAGCGTTCGTAATCCATAGGCGTATCACTTCTTTTAGTAGACAGTTAAAATATTTTTTGAAGTTATTCCTCGAGTATACACTTATATTTTCACCTAATTAACCTGCTTATAACTTCTAAACAGCTGAAGGTAAAAAAGTGCAATTTTTTCTAAAATGTTTTATTTTTCCACAAGGTATGTTAAGAACATTGTGTCAAACGGGTTATGTAGGTATAAGGGTTTAAACTTTGACTTTTAAACAACATTACGTTCATAAATAATAATTTTAATATAAAAACTACTTCTTACATACAAATCCAAATCGGAAGATGAACTGCCGCAACCAATATTTACAATGAGTGGCTGGATCATTTCATCAGTAATATTGTCCAACTTCCACATTTTCTTTAATCGTTTGATTTACTGCCGTTTCCCAGTTTTCAGGCTTCACATTATTTACAGCCTCCAAAAACAACTGTTTAACATCACTCATTTTAAAAGAATTATTTTTTCTTGAAACTTCTCCCTTTATCTGTGCCCATATCAGTTCAATCGGGTTTACTTCGCAATGATATGGTGGTGACCTAACCACCGTCATCCCACGATTTTTTGCAATTTCATCAATTTCGTATTTTTTTAATTTCTCTTTATGAAGGGAACACAAATGATACAGTTCTTTTCTCACAGAACCGGGATGGAACTTAATATTCTTTGAATTTAGCCAATTCTGTAAATCTTTTTTTAACCACTTGGTTGTGGGCATTCTTTCTATAAGTCTCGAGTGATAACTTGCATTATCCATTACTATTATACAGTTCTGAGGAAGAAGATCTATAATTTGTTCGAACCACTCTTTAAAGACATCAGCATTCATGTCCTCATGGTAGTCACCGGTACGAGTAGATTCAAAATTCAATAAACCACCTTTAACAAAACCGTTTGAACTACCGATGTGTACTATTATTAGTCTGCGCCCCTTTCCTGCTGGTGGATTTAAACCAGTAGATAAATTATTTAAAAAAACCTGTCTTCGACTTGTAACAGTTTCATCTTGCCAAAATTTATTTGGTTTATGTCCCTCGTTGATCCATGTTTCATCTAAATAAAATATATTTCTTCTTTGATTTCTCATTTCTTTTATAGTCCTTAGGTAATTTCTTCTCCATACTACAATATCGCTTCTTTCTATTAAAATAGACTTTCTGGAATGCTTTTTCCATAGAAAACCTATTTCTTTTAAAAGTTTCTATAGTGTGCTTCGACTCATTTCAGGGTAATCCTTATCATCTCGAACCGTGGCAAGAACTTTGTCTACTGTCGAAAATTCTTTTCTAAAGAAGAACGCATGCACTTTCCTTCGAAGTCTTTCTTTCAAAAGATTTTCTAATTGAAATTTTGGTTTTCCTGAAGTTTTACGTGCTGTTTGAAACTCGCCACATTTCTCTTCTTTAACAACTCTGTAAATCGTAGATTTCCCAACACCAAGCGTACTACTAATTCCACTGTGTCATTAACACTTTTACATAAATGTTTGTCTGTAAATTATTTAAAACAATTAAATATTAATGTTTTTTCATTAACTGTTAAAGGACCGATTTTTTGTCGTTTACGCGGCCCTTCCAAATTTTCCATGATCACGCTAGAATTCACACTGCGCCTTGCAAGTTGCAACTAAACGACATTTAGTAAACTGTCAAGAATACACAACTTGGACCTCCTTACTAAATGGAAAACCTATAATCGCATTTTCGGTGAAATTTGTTGGGAAGGTATGTTATGTTATGTTGATAATGGGGTGTTAATACACTGCGACCTAAAAGATCTATTGTGCCCCCTTCTGTCGCCACTGCACTAAGGAAATGTCTCAATGCCTATAGCGACCCTTCCAATCCTATTTTCTCAAGGAAGTGTAGGATTTGAAGTGGCTTCAAGTTAGGTAAGTCTCCCTCTTCTATTTGATATCCTCCTAGATATAGTGCCCTTGGATTCTGGAGTGCTACACATTCAGTTAGGATGTGAATGGAGGTTTCGTCCTCCTCCTCACAGAATATGCACTCACTATCCTCTACTACTCTCAGTTTACTTAGGTGTCCTTTTAGTCGGCAGTGCCCGGTAAGGATCCCTGTTACAATACGTAGCCTATTGTTGCTCAGGCAGATGCAGGCTTCCGATCTTTTTTGGTTATATTCACCCAGAAGTATCTTGGCCTGTCTCAGCCCCAAGAGATTATTCCAATTATCGGTTCTTCTACTACCCAATTCTTTTTTAATCTCTTCTAATATTATGTTACTGCTGATACCGCAGAACGGCTCAGGTCCTACAAAGGGTGTTTGGGCCCCTTTCCTTGCAAGACTATCTGCAATCTCGTTACCCTGTACCCCGTTATGTCCCGGGACCCAAGTGAGAGTAACTCTATTTTTCTCGCCTAGCTCATTCAATTGTTCTAGGCATCTCCATACCATTTTTGAGCTGATTACGTAAGAACTCAGCGCTTTGATGGCTGCTTGACTATCGGACATGATGATAATCTCTTGTCTATGATAGTTTCTCTCGATGTTAAACTGGATACACTTCTCGATGGCGTGAATTTCCGCCTGGAAGATGCTTGGGTATTTTCCCAAGCTTTCGGAGTGCTTGGTTCTCGGCCCATACACTCCTATTCCAGTTCCTTCTATGGTTTTGGAACCGTCCGTATACCACTGAATAGCACGTCTTTCGGTTGCAAGCGTGATGGATTCTTGGCTCCATTCTTTCTTGCAGCCCAGTTCTGTGGTTTTGAAGTTTTTCACAAAACTGTACTTCTTTTGCATTTCATCCTAGGGCATGTCCCAGGTATCTTTAGTCCTGAAGCAAGTAGACTTTCGTCTCATTACTCCGCTCCTGATCATTCTATATCGTGTCCTTTTTGCCACATTCTCTATCATCAAATGTAGAGGGGTGAGGTTTAAGATCACCTCCATTGCGGCCGTAGGACAGGTTCTCATTGCACCAGTAATGCAAACATAGGCTAGTCTTTGTACTTTTGAGATATTAGCTCTCGTAGTAACTAAACTAGTTCTGTTACTCCAGGCTATAGCCCTGTAAGTGATGATTGGTCTCACTATTGCAGTATACATCCATCGCAGTATGTTTGGGTTACATCCCCATCGTTTACCCGCCATGTTTCTGCATACCATTAGGGCTTTTGTGGCCTTATTTACTACTTCCTTCTCATGTATGTTCCAGAGAAGTTTGTTGTCCAGGGTTAGGCCTAGATATTTGACTTCATTTTTCCATTCTATATCTATCCCGTCTAATTTAACGGTTTTGAGATTAAGTTTTCTTTTCCTTGAAAAGGCTATTAGTGTTGTTTTTGTAGGGTTTATACTAAATCCCACTTCACGGCACCATCTTTTGGTATGTTCTAGTCCTCTTTGGACTATATCACACAGGATATTACTAAACTTGCCACTAGCAAATATGACTATGTCGTCGGCATAACCTTGACAGGGTATGCCGAGGTCAGTCAATCTGCATAGAAGTTCGTCTACGATTAGGCTCCACATTAGTGGGGATAGAACTCCTCCTTGTGGACATCCTCTGGTTGTGCAGATGGAGATGGTGTCCTGCCCTATCTGTGTCTCTGCAGTTCTCTTAGATAACAGCTGAGCCATCCATCTGCATGTGATGTTATCTACTCCTCTGTATGCAAGTGCTCTTTTTACAGATTCGTGTGGCGTGTTGTCAAAAGCTCCTTCTATGTCTAGAAAGGCACACACG